ATTTTCATATGTTGAAAATGAATAAGAATATATCGAAAGATAAAAAAAGTAGGAGTAAGTACGAACAACAATATTTATCTCGCAGCGAGGAGTGCTAATTGATATATTTTAAAGTTATTAGATGTACTAAATTTTAAAAAAAACTTAAAAATAATTTAAATCCGTTTATACATCATTTGATGTTATTTTATTTCAAATATTAATTCTAATAATTTTAAATTTAAGGATAAGTTTAAATGAAGCAAAGTTAATTTCACTGTTAGTTGAAGATATGGTGATTTAAATTTAAAAATAAGCCAAATCATGATAGATGAATAAATCTAGTTTCTTTTTAATATAAATACGTAGTTTTTTATTTTTGCATTTTAAAATTTATTTTTTGTGAAGGCAACTAATTGCTCCTGCTTGATAATAATCAAAAGATATTTCTCCAAAAAAATATTAAATTTTTTAAATTTATTTTGTTTAATAATGCTGTCTAAATAATCTCGTATTCTGTAAAAGATAATTTATTATTCAAATGAGAACTTGAAAAATCTTTGCGTAAAACTGTATTAAATAGCATCTTAAAATGATTATGAACATGTAGAAGGTGATCTCTTCATCATCATATGGCTCAATGGTCTAAACGATACGGGTAAGTGCTATATTGTATGTAAGTTTGAATCCAACCTTCATCCTTACATATTTCCATTTAGACGACTAGTCCAGACTCGTCCACTACATAAGGCTGTAACATACCCTATGTACGGTCAGGTCTGATGTCCTTATTTTTCAATTTGAAATTATTTTCGAATAGTTATTTCTGTCACTCGTCCTGATTAGTCTTTGTCTCAAAAAGTCCTAATTCAGGACTAGCCTGTATATTAGATAATAACCTCGTATATCAGCCGACTTCAGACCAGTCCTAGACTGGTCTTTCTTTGAAACTAGACACGTATAATGACGCCCATCAATCGTATGACTTATACTGAGCTTAATGATGCACAAAAACTTCGGGCTAGTCATGGATGAATCGATTTTGAGGCAAAGACTATAAGGATGGGTCGACATGACTAGAAAAAAGACTAGTCATTTACCCCGTCTTTTGCTCACCTGGGCATAATTATGAACCACAAAAAAAGAAAGCAACATTCATTCATAATCATCACCTTTTCTCATCTTCGCAGTCTCGATCTTCAAAGGGCAAACGTTGATTATGGTGCTCAATATCTCTGTGACACAAAAATTCATCTGCCTTGTTTGCTGAAACTTAAAATTACATATGAATCACTAATGTTCATTTCAGAGTTAAATGGTCGTGGGCATTTTTTGAATAACTTTTGATAGGAATGCGATAAAGATCTCCAGTTTTCACCGTTGGAAAGAGCAGACGAAGACACATTGAATTATATATAGAAAGATTTCCTAACTACTTTCCTATAGGTTTTACGTAAAACGGCAAGAAAAACAGCATGCTTCTCATGATCACGATATCAATTTAGTGATTTTCAGAAGTGCTCTAGAATCGCCAAAGGAAGGGCTACAGAACTATAGCAAGACGCTATTCCTAGCTACTACCAGTATGATATCCAAACCATCCGAACACAATTTATCACCTCATTTTTTTCAACAAAATAATCGAAAAATGTAAACTTTTGTCGTATTTTGATAGAAAAGCCACTTTTTTAATATAGAAGAAAAAAGCATTTCTTTGAAAACTTTTGACTAAATCTATAGAAAAATAGTTAGAAAAATGTTTCTATATATAGTTCGATGCGTCTTCATCTGCTCTTTCCAACGGTGAAACCGGAGATTTCTATCTCGTTCCTATCAAAAGTTATTCAAAAAATGCCCACAGCCATTTAACTCTGAAATGGTCATTAGTATTGATGGGTACTGATTCAAAATAAAAATAATACTGTTTTATTTCTGTAGTGTGATGCATACTCTAAGGGTGTGGATCTTCTATGCATTGATAGTCACATCTACAGTCATACCCTTTTGCAGTCTCTCTCGAACGAATAAAACAATTTGACAATACTGTACAGCTCATCTAGTGTGCAGAGAAAATTTAGCGCAGCAGAGCAAATTATTACTCAACAAAGATCCAACTTCCATCCATAAGCAATCAAACTTATTTTTCTTTGCTTCGTTTGTTTGCTGAGACATTTTTTTTCTCATCAAGTTTCTTTTTTTTGGATTTTTTTCATTAGGCTTCACTACTTGTACTTTTTTTCTTATAAAAATATATAATGCTTATAGATATATTTGAAAATCATGAATAGTATATGTATACAGAGGCTACCGATACATGAATGTCATGATGAAGAGACAATATTGTTAAATAACATATACGAATTAGAAACAAATAGTATGTTATTTTGAACAGAATATAAATCGATCGAATGAAGTTTAAGCGTACCCAAATCGAATCGAACTTTTGTCATTCGTTTCGAACTCTGATTCACATACACATGCATATAGAAACAACTTCGATTGCAATTTTTCGTACTAAAATCTAAATTATTATTCGTCGCGTTCTTGTTGTCATTAGCAGAGCTGCGAGATTGTACGATGCCATATGAATGCTTCATAGTGCAGTATATATAGCGCAGGTATGTTTTTATTGTGCGAGAACAATTGAAGTTAATTTTTTCATTGTTTCATCAATCATCAATAATAAACACACGAAAATTATAATCGCGTCTCGATATCCACAAATGAGTGATTGGACGATAGTAGAAAGTAGGCAATCGTCTCGTCAATATGGATCGAACATGACAAACAATAGCAAAATCTTTTTAAATGATGCTTTTTCTGTCGAACCTAAAGAATGTCAATTCAATGACGAGAACAACAATAAGTGAGAAACATTAATAATCTATTCAGTTGTTATATAGATTAGATTATTATGTTTTAGTTGGACATTATCAAACAAACTATCACAATATTTCAAATTATTATCACCATGTTTCTGTGGTTTATTATTAGGTGCACTTGTGGCTGGTATTATATTGGCAGTGGTGATAACACTGTGGTCCACATCTGCAACACAGAGTAAGTATAATAGTTCTTCTACAAAAGTTGCATTGATATTTCATTAGCTGATATTGTCTGAAACAATGCCTGAATATTAAAAAAAACTTATTACTCTGTGAGTTACACTCATCTTTAGAATGTTTTATGCTTTCTAAAGCTACTTATCAAGAATACTAAGAAAGTAAATTTTAAACTTTCAGAAACAATATCAATTAGAAGATTTTGTATGTGTTGTAATGAATCAATATAGAGATAATGTAAATTATGTAAAACAATCATTTGACTAAGATCTGTGACAGTCAGAAGTAAATGTTTACAGTAGCGAAAATTTTTTTTAGATGCAAAATTCATAAACATTCGAAACAAGTTGAAATACAAAGGTTTCTCGATGTATCCATTGAATAAATCTGCATCTCATCTATGAATATGAAAAGAGCAATTCAAAAATTTTACTAGAACGAAAAAAATATTTGGAATAAATTTAGATTTTAATTAAACTGGATAAGGCTTCTTTTTCGCTCTCTGCAGCCCATCATGCATTGTTTGATTGCTTATTATTTTTTGTACGCAGTAGCGAAGACTGAGTTTCATTGTTTTTCAATAATCAGTGATACTTAAGACATCAGAAGCATTCAAAGACATTTTTGTCGATTTCATTACTATACATCTTAGACAATGTAATACTATCCAAGACTCTACAAATATTGCTATGATAGATTTTAAACAACTTGAACGTCTAGCCACAACAACACAGAATAAATCCTTAATTTGTGAATTCTTCGTCACCCAATAGAATGAAATGTGTCGTACCCCTTAACACAATATACGACACGTCTAAGTATAACACAAGAAGCTGGCTAGGACACATTTTATCCAGTGATGACGAACGACACATGCGAAACATTCAGAAAATGTGGTTCAAATTTAGTATAGGGCGCTTTTTTGTTTTTTCCTTGTAAAAGTATCTTGAGATATTTTGTTCAATTTTTTCCTTTGAACCATTCATATTCTAAAAACTCTACCAGATCGAATCTCGGAATCTATCTGGTCTCAGAGTGTTATGATTTCTATTAGACTGTTTCAAAAAACTTCTCTCGTGATCATCGATTGAGATCGATATGCTCATTCTCGACTCATACATAATTGAGAGATAATCTAGAGCAAAGATACTATGGAAATATATAATTTTCCACTGTTCAATCGAGCTGTCTACATCTGACTGAGCATGGAAAATACAACAGTGAGTGGATACCGAGGAGAAAACAACTGAGACTTCAGCCTTAAAGTCTGATGAAGTCTTTCAAGTTTCATGGAGTCTTATGGAGTCTCGTGAAGTCTTGAAGTCTGCTGTTTCCCCCTCGGTGAATACTTAGCAGACAGGACGTGATAAATTCATATACAGCATATTCTAAGGATGTGGGTGTGGATGAGAGAAATTCCCACTACACTCACACATATCGTTTGCACTGCGTTACTTTTATATAAGTCGAACTAGTGAGATATGGAAATGATCTTACATTTTATAAAATGGAATAAAACGAACAACATACTTTATCATTTTCTGTGTGCAATATATGGTTCTAACAAATATGACTTTCTATCGAATCATGTAATAATCTCACATAATGAGCCGCGTTGAAATTTCAAATTTATTCCTGAATTACTGAAGAAATGCTAATCTCTTTGAGAACGAAAAGTTCTGATTTTCATGATCTTACCACTTCCATATGTTACTTTTCGATGTGCTGATCTTCGCTATCTTTTTGCAACTTTCCCTCTATTGCTGATAAGTAGGTACTATTTTTATTAGCTCGATGAGTTGACAAACATGAAAAATTGCAGTAGCATTGGTTATTAATAAAAAGCAATCATATCTGAAGTCTTTTTCGCGCCTTTGCATTACATATCCTATAGATTATCGAGATTCCTAGTGCTCACTTTCTTGAGAATCCGCTGATACCTCCCTACATCTAATATTAATGATAACTAAAGCAAGAATTGAATTGATAGCCACAACCACCTCGACAACTTCAACAACAGCCACGACAACAACAGCAACATCGACAACGACAACAACTTCAACAACAACAACAACAACAACATCGTCTACAACAACAACAACATCAACAACAACAACTTCAACAACGACAACAACAACAACCTCAACAACCACAACAACAACAACATCGACAACAACAACAGCAACATCATCAACTACAACAACAAGTTCGACAACATCCACGACAACCTCAACAACATCCACGACAACTACAACAACAACCTCGACGTCAGCTACAACTTCAACAACCACCACAATACAAATGCCTGGTATGTACCATTTTCATTTACTAGATCTAAGTGCTTTAGAAAGAACTCTTCTCTTTGTAATCATGTTTTATGTAGAAAAACTCTTAATCAATAAAATTATCTTTTTCGGATAAAATTGGTGCATAGTGCTCTGTATCCTAAGAATTCAAATCTTTTTATATATTTCTAAATTCTACAGTACTTTCCGAAAAAAAGCATAATGCTGTCTGAATATGTTACTTTTGGAAAGCATAAATCCTCTCGAGTTACACAGAACATGGGAGAATCGAAAATAACAACTAGACACCATTTTCATATATAAAACAAACTATCCCTTCTATAATCATTGGTTCATACATAATAAACCTGAAAACTGAATTTCAATGATTTAAGGCTCTAGAGCAGGAGGTTGCGCTCATCGTAGGCTCATAGAAAGCACCAACACATAGGGAAATATATTTAAAACTTGAAAAATTTGAAGAATACTTGTTCAATTGAATTCCAATTTCACTCAGGTCAGATGAAGACGATTCATAAACGGTCATAAACGATAAAAATATGGCATAATACAGTGGTCATAATGGTTGATCGGTTACAAATGATCGTAGACAATCTTGATACAGTGAAATATGATAACATTTACGACGATCGTATACGGAGAACCGTAGATGTTATATATTCAAGTCTGGTTTCACAGTTACCCTACGTTTCCTATATTTTTTAAAGTTGATCTTATAATAGGATGCGAAGTTATTATCAAACAGTTATGTTCGAAGGTAACTGGTAACCGATCTATTATCGTTCTAGAGCAACGTAACGGTAACTTCTCATCCCTATCCTATACTAGACAATATTTGAAGTTTTTATCTTATATTCCTAGATTTTTCGAAAAGCGAAAAATTCTTTATACAAGAGTCATATTTTCTTTAAATGAGTGCCCACTATACAGTTTAGCTATTCTAACTAATGTTCATAATGTATGAATGAGAATGTTGATAAATAATGAAATTATATAATCAGATTAAACTTCTTGTCCTCGTTTTAAGAAAAAGATCTGAAGTAAAGAATGCAGAATTGATTTCTATACAAAACTGCTGCTTTTGTCTTTGAATAAGTTTTTTAGGAAGATTTAAGGTAACGAAATTAATTTCAAATCAATCAGACAACAGCGAAAATAAAAAGAAACTAAAAAATGATAAAAGATATATTATCAGTCTTATTCATGTTTCGATTATGCAGGTAATGATACAAATATCATCGTTCTATAGGCAAGTCTACTTTGCGAAAATATCCATCTAACCATTTTTAACATTTGCCCGTTTTCTAAGCGTTTGACTGACTTTACGAAGAATGCGTCATTACTCGTCCAAAATTGAACATTTTCGAGAGTTAAAACGTGATTATCATTTCAAATACATCCTTAAGCATCTTTAATATAAACTTCTTTAAATGCGTTCGAACACATCTAAAATACAATGTTGTAAGATGTTGGAACGCGTTCTGACGACGTTTAATTTTAAACGCATGTAGACGAGTATGAAACATTCGAGCTTTTTATTAATGGAAAAAATACAATTCTGATACGACATTGATCCACTTTTGACATTACATGATACATTCGCTTCACTTCATTTCATTTCACTTGAAGGTAGCATAATTTTACATGGTTGGATAAGATTTGATCACGGCTCGTACGGAGCAGAAGTTAGAGAAGTTATCACTGAGCAATAAATGCTCATTTAGGATTATTCTTCATTACGATATGCCTTCGTATTGGAAAAAAAAACATCTACTACTATCAAACAGAGGTAATGAAGTCATGCAAGCTTCAAAACATTTTAATATTTTTCATTTGTCGATCACATCTGAAAATAAGTTTATAAAAGTTTCAGATGCAATTAAATTTCCTAATATGATTACCATAGTGTCGATGCTGCACCAAATGAGATAGTCGATTAAATTAGATACACTATCCTTCAAAAATGATGAATATTTTTATTCTAACAGTGCAGCTTAAAGTCAACGAGGGTACGAGTGTGCGTGTGGGTGTGGGTAAGAAGTACAGCTTCACACCCACACCATTTCTTTTTTTTCGAAGTGAAGCAGTGACTTGGTTAGCACAATGACATTATTAATTTATGTCTTCAGCTAGAAACACAAGTTAATGTATTCTTTTATAATCCATTAACATGAAGTTACTTAGTTTTCAATGTTTAGATTTATCTTTCTCTGGAAAAAGCTACGAAAATCTTTCGTTTTTAGTTCTAGCCCTTAGTATTTTGTTTTCGTTTTCTTTCTATTTTTATCCATTATGCTAAGTAGGTAAATATATGAACAGAAAAAAAATATTTTTTTGTGCTATTATTTTTCTTTTATTCTTACTGCCATCGTTTTTCTAGTATTTTTTTATGGAGAATATACATCTAAAACCAAAAAAAAGACTTGAATGCTATAGAGTAATTCATAGACCTCAAGAGCATAAAATAGGAAGTCAAAACAGGAAGTAAATTGTACTATAATGGGGTGTTTACGGCTGTAAAGGATTCAAAATCTGATCTGTGAATGATCGTAATTACATTGTATGCCAGTCGCTTACTGTCGTAAACAATTTTGTAACATCGTACGTTTTCATCAATCTAGGCGAGTTTCACACTAATGATCTGACTATGAACCACTGAGAAATGAATGATATGTTTGTTGTTCACAAAGTGTATAGAATAAGTATTTGCTTGTAGGATGGGCGCTTACTGGAAGTACCAGTTATGATCGATATTATCACACAACATCTGTCTTGACTAATGGAAAGGTTTTGCTTGCCGGTGGATATTCTTCATCTCTTGCTGACTTAAATATTGCTGAGTTGTATGATCCAGCAACATGGATATGGACAATTACTGGAAGTATGAGTTATACTCGATATGTTCACACAGCATCTGTATTAACAAATGGAAAAGTATTAGTTGCAGGTGGATATTCTAGTACTAGTGGTTATTTAAATAGTGCTGAGTTGTATGATCCATCCACAGGAACGTGGACAATCACCGGGAGTATGACCTATGCTCGATATCTTCATGTAGCGTCACTGTTAACAAATGGCAAAGTGTTAGTCGCTGGTGGATATGGCAATGGACTTTATTTAAATAGTGCTGAGTTGTATGATCCATCAACAGGCGTTTGGACACTTACGGGAAGCATGAGTGATACTCGATATTTTCCTACAGCATCTATGTTAGCCAGTGGAAAAGTATTAGTCGCAGGTGGATATTCTGCCACTGGTACTTATTTAAATACTGCTGAGTTGTATAATCCGTCCACAGGCTTGTGGACACTTACGGGTAGTATGAGTTATGCTCGATATATTCACACAGCATCTGTCTTAGCAAATGGAAAAGTTTTAGTCGCTGGTGGATATAATGGAGGTGGTCTGAATACTGCTGAATTGTATGATCCATCGACAGGAATGTGGACAGTCACTGGAAGTATGAGTTATGGTCGATATTATCACACATTATCCGTTTTAAACAGTGGTATAGTATTAGTCTCTGCTGGATATAATGTCGCTGGTACTATTTTAAATAGTGCTGAATTCTATAATTCATCAACAGGTGCGTGGACAATCACTAGTAGTTTGAATTATGCTCGATATATTCACACAGCATGCGTGTTAACGAATGGAAAAGTATTAGTTGCAGGTGGAGTCGGAATTAGCTCTTCGGAACTGTACCAACCATAACAAATAAGTCCAGAATGAAAATTCTTTTTGATGAATAAACTTGTCTGTTAGAAGGATTTAAAAATAGAATTATTTTAGTTTACTAATGATCACATTTTTCTCTTCTTCTCAACATCCAATAACTTGTATTTTGATTTTATTTTTCTTATAATAATAACTTGTATTCGATTCATTGTTCTTCAGAAACACTATATTGTTGTAGAAACTTCTTTTTGGCGGAATATCTTTAGAAAAAATATTTTTTTGAAACTAGAATACTTTATTTGGTTACAATT